GGTGGTGGGTAGGTACTGGAAATATTGGGAGGGCCACTTTGTTAAGTCTATGATTGTCTAACCACAATACTGTATACCTGAAACTAATACGCAATAATATTGACAGTAAACTATAATTGAAAAATAAAAATAAGCAAAAAATATAATATATAACAATATTATTTTTTAAAAATGACCCTAGCTTGTCCAGTGTAGATATTAATTCCCTCATGACAATGCCTCTCTTTCTTTCTTTTGTTCCCCTTTCTGGGATTTTTTAATTGTTCGCAAGGAGACAGAGTTTAGGAGAACAAACTTGCTGGAATCATACACATTTTCACTGGGATTGGAGAGCCACAAGTCCCTTTGTTTGTTACTCACTGGCCTTTGGCTATCAGCACTCTCTATGAACCACTGCTCCTGGATGGGACTTTCTGACATCTGTCACTTTGGGATTTGGGGTGGCAAAAGGATGAGGATGTATGAATGGGAGCAGCACCTCCATGCTCCCAGTGTGTGTCCTGCCTGCCCAGCACAACACATTTTCCACTTAGGTGCTGGGGACGGTGGCTCCAGGGCACGTCACTGAGGGAGATGCTCAGGACTCACTAGGGCCACCAGGGCTAGGATCCGCGGCCTGGGTGGGTTCTCATTGCTGCAGCACCTGGGAAGCCTCCCGAAGCAGAGTGTGGGCACATCAAGGCCCTCAGTGGGTCTTCGTCAAAGGAACAGATAGGTCCAGCTTCACCCCAACTAATCGCCTGAGCGGAGGGCCTGTGAAGACTTAACCTGAAGCTAAAAGGGCCTGCATGATGAGAAATCTCCTAAATTAGTGATTCTTTGTCCTGGCTACACATTGGCATCATCGCCGAACTTCTAGAAGCATCTGAAGCCTGAGCCTTGGGCATTAATATGGTTTCCCAACCTCCTCAGGTGATTTTAATGTATAGCCAGATTTGAAAACCACATTCTTAAACTATGATAAACGGTCAGGGATGAAAGGTACTTCCCAACCATCTCAGCAAATCCCATAAATCCACATGAGTAGGCTGAGCAAGGGTTTGGGGCTGGGCAGCTGGCTGAGGTATGTCAGGATGGTCATCAGAACTGTTCAAGATTAATTTCTGATGATTGATGCTGGTATCTTCTTATTTCCCCCCTCCCTCAATTTATTTTATTGGGGTAAAATACAGATAACATAAAATTTATCATCTTAACCATTTCTAAGCAACAATATAGTTAGAGGCATTAAGTACAATTATAAGGTTGTACAACCATCACCACCATCCATCTCCAGAACTCTTTTTATCTTGCAAAACTAAAACTCGGTATGCATTAAATAAAAACTTCCCATTCCCCTGCACACACCCCCGTCCCCTGACAACCACCATTCTACTTCTGTCTCTGTGAATTTGACTGCTCAGGTGCCTCATAAGAGTGGAATCATACAGCATCTTTTTGTGGCTGGCTTATCTCACATGTGTCACAATTTCCTTCCCTCTTAAGCCTTAATTTATATTGTTTATCCATTCATTTGTCAATGGGCACTTCTATATTTTAGCTACTATGAATACTGCGTCTATGAACGTGGGTGTACATGTATCACTGAAGACCCTGCTTTCAATCTTTTGGCTATCTATCCAGAAGTGAAATTGCTGGATCACATGATAATTCTATTTTTATTATTTGAGGAACTGCAATACTGTTTTCCATAGTGGCTGTACCATTTTACATTCCCACAATGCAGTTTGTTTCCAATTTCTCCACATCCTCACCATCACTTGTAATTTTTTGTTTTGTTTTTTATAGTAGCCATCCTAAAGGGGATCTCATCGTGGTTTTGATTTGCCTTTCCCTAATGATTTGTGATGTTGAACATCTCTTAATGTACTATTGGCCATTCATGTATCTTCTTTGAAGAAATTTTTATTCAATTTCTTTGCCTATTTTTGAATTGCATTGTTTACTTTTTTCCTGTTTAATTTAAGAGATCGCTACATATCTGGATATTAATCCCTTGACAGATATATGATTTGCAGATATATTCAGAGCTTGGAAACCAAGTCTTCTTCCATATCAATAGATCAGAACTTAGAAAAGGTGGTTGTTCACAACTTGCTAGGAGATTTGGAATTTTTGATATGTTCATCTGGAAGTGACAAGGATTTGGTTACATGTGACTCAGATCTCAATTTGAGGGCTGACCATTCTAATATGACATATGACGTAACTGGGTAGTGGCACAAAACCAACCATGGCTTTTCCCAACTGGCTATGCTGAGCTGGGAATTTGTTAAGGATGGGATAAAAGGATCCTTGATGTGGTGACAAAGCCAAGAATGGCCAGAGATGGCTAGGAAGGGTAGAGATTGGGGATCTTTGGCAGCTAGTATTTTATTTGAGGTCAAAAATATTGTACTTGGAAATCTGTCTATGAACTTATAACAAATAGGCATTAGAAAATGCTTATTATTATTATATTCAGTAAAAACATTACAAGCATTTCTTCCAAAGCATGTTCCTCCACTTAATGAGGTTCGCCATCCTGATGTTTGTACTGGAGCAGGTACCAGCGAAGCTCCCCCAACACTAGGGAAGAGGAAGCGTGAGGCATGGTAGCAGAGTCAAACCCACTTAGACATGTGTTCTGAGGAGAGTGCAAACAAGACAGTGTCCCTCAACTGAGCCCCTGGATCAATGCTAACAAGCTGGGCTGGAAGGAAATCCAAGAGGTCCAATTGCAGCTTCCCTGTGGAAAACTCAAAACCAACCTATGAAGAGGACCCTGAGGTAGCATTGTGCTGCCACATTTCAATGAAACCTTTGCATTGTGTCCTTGGAGAAAATGCATTTGTGTTCATTGCTTAATGGATCACTGCTATTTTCATTCATTATGTAACAAACACAGGTCTCTGCCTCTCCAAATCTTTCCATGGCTCCTCCTTGGTGCTTACAGAATCAATCAGATTTGTCCATACCTCTCCTTGCCCCCATAAAGACCTAATCTTTGATGCACTCTCCTCTCCATCTGCCTGCTTTGTCTTGGGTCTGGAAAATACTGGTCTACACAGCACTGCTCCTACATCTCTGACCTTAGTGTTTGGAATCACTTCTCACTGAGGCTGAGTGACTCACCCAGGGTCACAGCACCAGTCAAGGCGAGTGCCAGCGGTAGAATCTATGTTACATCATTTGCACTTCATAAGAAACCTTTGTATGTATCAGTATACTGGCTTTATATATATATATACTTAGAAACAAAACAAGCAACAAATTATATATGTATCTGTAACAAATTGGGATCAGTCTTGACATTAAACCTTATCATGGACCAAAATGTGCCATACTAATGACGGGAGTTTAGCACAATGACAAGCATGGAGACTGAAATTTAGATCAGTAAGTCTTAACAGTTTGCCTGCTGTATTTGTAATAACCATTTTCCTCTGGACTGTCTAAGCAAAAAAAAATGTAACTAACCCCTTCATCTCCTTTTATACTTATTTGGAAATTTTAGTTTTAATGTTTAACTGGCATGGATCAATAGAGTTGGGATTTAGTTTTTAAGGAAAATTCATTAGCTAACTTCCACTTAATCTAGATCCTTTATTTTATTGAAATATATAATTAACCGAAGAAAAGATTCTTCTTGGGAGTATGTTGTCATTTAAAGAGATTTCCCTTCATTTAAACTAAATTACTGTTTTATTTTGATCTTCATATTTCTGTATATTTGTCTTCACAATGCTTACATCAGATTTGGTGTACTGAACAAATGAACCTTTCATTTAAAAAAAAAAAAAAAAGAAAAAGAAACCTGACATGCAAAAGGCTCCCAAGGTTGGAGTTATGGAGCAACACTCCCCAGCTCTTCTCCCGTATGGTTCCCACAGACACTCCTGTGTAGGCACTTGACCAGGGGCTGACCTTAGCTGGAAGTGACCTGTATGTGGCTTAAGGGGTGCAGCACTCTGTTGTAGCCTGGCCTGGACTGTTTTCTTTAGGATTTGCAAAGGTGTTGATCTCCCCATGGTCATTAAGTTCCTTTCCGGTGGGAGAGTAAGTTCTGCCTGGTATCCATGACTCAGTGTGTGGTCAGGAGGTGAAGGACCAGCACCCACAAAGAGCATCTGTGTGGTATCCTGGGCTTTATATACAGTGGCAGGTCACCCAGCTTCCAGGCCCCAGTGAGCCACTATTGATGCTGTCCAAGCACCAAGTACATTTTTAACTTTTTGTTTACCTTTAAATCAACTTAGAATCAATTCCCTTTTTTATCTGGCCTAAGGCCAAACATTATCTGTGAAATGAAGATTTTGGTATGCTGGTAGGCACTTGTTTACTCTAATATGCACTCAAACATAAACACAACTGCTAAAATATTTTTAAACTTCTTTGAACATCTAAAGACCTCTGGTGAGATGAGAGAGGGTTTGGGGGGCTGGGTAGAAGAGGTTAAGGGATTAGGAAGTACAGAGTGGCAGCTACAGAATGGTCATGAGGATATGAGATATAATAGAGGTAACGTGGTCAATACTATTGTAATAACTATGTATGGTGTCAGGTGGGTATTGGTTTTATCTGGCTGATCACTTAGTGGGTTGTATAGTGTCTAATCACAGGGTTTTACACCTGAAACTAATATAATATGGTATGTCAGTTGTAATTGAAAAATAAAAAATTATTTAAAGTCAAATAAAATAAAATGAAGTCCACTCTTAGTGATCAAAGGCATGAATAACAGTTATTTTATTGAATCCTCATGAATCAGTCAATCTTTATATACTGTAAGGGTAGAAGTATTATTCCTGTTTTTCTATTGGGGAAACTGAGGCTCAGGGAGTTTAGGTAGTGACAAGATCATACACAGAGTGAGTGATAGGGCAGAGATTTGAACCCAGAGCCCTGACTGCTAAAGTCATATTCCTTCTTTCCCCTCTGCCGTGCAAGCAGTGACACAGTGGCGGAATTGTTGTGTCCATCATCCCCTGGCCCTCACTCCCGCCTCCTTTCTTCTGCAGTCCACTCTAGGTTTTGTGGCCCTGGTGCTGAGCACCCTGCACACGCTCACCTATGGCTGGACCCGTGCCTTTGAGGAGAGCCGCTACAAGTTCTACCTGCCTCCCACCTTCACACTCACGCTGCTGGTGCCCTGCGTCGTCATCCTAGCCAAGGTCCTGTTCTTCCTGCCCTGCTTAAGCCGCAGACTCTCCAAGATCCGGAGGGGTTGGGAGAAGGACAACGCTGTCAAGTTCACACTGCCAATGGACCACGCCTTGACCCAGAAGACAAGCCATGTGTGAAGAGCTTGTACCTGGCTTCGGAAACCAGATGCAGGCAGGACAGTGCCCTGAGCCTGTCAGGGTTGTTTTTTTTTTCCCTTGATTGTGCAGTATGGTGTGATTGTACACAAATTGGTGGTTTGAGGTCCGAATTCCTGGGATGCCAATGTATTCAATAATATTCAGAATGACACACGTGTGTGTGTGATACATAGGTTCATATATATTTCGTGTATATATATATATATACATATATACATATATATATGTATATATATCAGGATTTGCAATTATACTTACTTAGCTAAAATGTTGAGTCCCTAAGGTTTCAACTAATAGATTTAAAAGCAAGTGCCAGATGTTAGGAGAAAGCAGCTCACATTCTTAGGGCATTTGCAGAGATATACACACACATTTTGCACAGAAAAGACAATGAGGGGCTTGTCCCTTGGTGGAGTCAGTCCATTTATGCCTCCCACTCCCCTTTTGCTACTTTTCCAAGGCTTTTGCATAGCTGGGGCCCTAACGTAGTGGGCAGACAGGAGCTCTGCCCGGAGCCTGACTCCACCTGGCACCAGGATGAAGAGTTACTAGTGAGAAAGGGGCGCAGCTGCTTCCCTGACCAACCGCCTGTGGGTGAAGCGAGGTTGGGTGGGGAGGGGATCCTGGTGTCTGTGCCCTGGCAACCAATTGAAGGCCCTTCCTTTGCCAGGTAGGGGCATAGGGAGGGAGGTTGGGGTTGAAGCTGCTCCCCCTAATCTTCCCTAAGATGGGAGAATTTTTCCTTAAAGTCAGAAGTCACCACTGCGGCTGCAAATTGGTCCTCCTGTGGGAGTGTGAAGTTACCTCCTTCCCGGAGCCACTAATGAATCCTGTCTTGACAACAAATGTAATTTCTTTGCTTCCTTTAAGTTGGTGATGACCGTTCTTTCGACCACTGTGCCTTCTCACTTTTATATCATTAGTGTGAATGTGTCCAGGAAGGCCTAGAGCAGACCCTCCAACAGTCAGTCCATGGGGAGGGAACACAAAGCAGAGCACTTAGAATAACAGGGAGCCTTTCTCTGACCCCGCCCAGAGGGCTGAAGGACTGACTGTCTTCGTTAAATCAGTCCTGTGGAAAAACACTGGGATCTCTTCAAATGTCCTCCGATACCACAGGGCAGAGAGCCTGCCTTCCAAGCACCCAGAAACCACGCTGTTCCAAGTTCCTCTTAAAGGAGGGTTACATTTCAAAATACCTAGGAATATCTTTTCCACCAAAGCTACCAACTTGAAATTCTGCTGCCCCAAAGCCTAGGAGGCTGGGCACAGCCAGGGCCACAGGCCATGTGCCCTTGAATCATACTCCATCCTCACTGATTCATACTGAAACTGTTTTTACTTCCCCTGTGAACAAGCAGGTGTTCTCCACTGAGCCCCAGCTCCTGGCATAACCAATGTGATCTGTCATTTCCATAAAAGAAGCACCTTGAACACAAAGTGGGTCGGATCCTGATAGAAGACATAAGTGAGATGCACGCTGAACTCTACTATGAATGGGGGACTGTGGGTCACGTTCATATTTCTTAGATCTCCTGGGCCAGAGGGCATGTTAGGGTGAACAAAGAGTCTAGTCGGCAAAGGCTGAGCAGATAATGCTGGAGGGAGAGGATGCCCCTGCTTCCCCAGGGAGGTATCATGAGTTCATGTCTGTGGAACGCATCAGGGTCCTTTAGTGAAATGAGAGGGAAAAAGCCAAGTGCAAGAATATCTCATTAGGCCAGTGACTAATGGAGGGAAGGCAGTGCCGTGAAGCTGTTGCTTCCTGCAGATATTTTCCGTCTGCTGCTCCAACACTGAGCAGCGGGCGTTTGTCTCCTAAATTGGCCCTGATGAAGTGGCAGCAGTGGCCGTAGAGAGGCTCTCTGCAAAGAAGGCAGGTGAAGCAGAGGTTTAAGCATTTGCTTGGCAAAATGAGGGCCCAGCAGTTTCCTGTTCACAGGTAGCAGGGAGAACATGGCCCACTGGAACCCACCTAGGCTCCCCAACCCCAGTCAGTATTGGCCGCCTTCCTTCTCCAAGCCTCCCTGGGCCTTGGGGTTATTACTTATACCAAAGATGCCAATGGAGTAAAGGCCAGTATGCACACCCCTTCCCACCCACATCCTGCTGCAAGTGCTCCTCAGGAGGGAAAGGATGTCAAAGTGGGTGGCAGGAAGGAACAGATAGCAAAGGACCTGCCACCTGCCAACTGGATAACCAACTCATAAAAGGCAGGGAGGGCTATGGAATTGGCCTTGACTTGTGTCTGTGGCTGTGCTTTCCTTCCTCACCAAGCAGTTGGCAACAGCATCCCCAAGAGAGCCAGTCACTCCCTTAGAGCCTGGGAAATTCTGTGTGCCTCTGGGTATAAAAGTGCCTAAACCAACATGCTCTGGAAATCCTGAATGCCATGTCAGAGGTTCATGTTTAAAATGTATGCCATTGAGAGAGTCTCATTTTTACCTTGTAGAGCTTGTCTGAGAAGCAGCGAAAATAAACATCTCCCTTCTGTGAGTTTCAGACTTTTATTTCTGTCATGTCAATCACCTGCCCACTCATTCATTTGTTCATTGGCTTGATGAGCCTTGTGACTGGAGCTTGCTCGGAGTTAGGCAGCATGCGAGGTGAGCACAGAATGATCTGGGCTAGAGCGCACCTCTGAGAAAGGGCAGACATGCAGATATACAACCACAAGCCAATAAGGAAACTTGCAAGATCCAGGTGACAAAATGCAGGGGGACATGAAAGGAGCACCCAAGGCCTGCAGAGGGGCTGGGAAGGCTTTTGGAGGGAGCAGTGTCTGTGCTGTGGCCTGAAGACTGCAGTCTTGAGTGTAGGTTAGAGCAGCAGTGCTTCTCGAACTGGAATGTGCATGGGAGTCGCTTAGGGAATCTTGCTCACACACAGGTTCTGATTCATGGGTCTAGAATGAGGCCTAAGACTGTGCAATTCTAAGAAGGTCCCAAGTGACATGGATGATGTTGATCTGTAGACACTGAGCAACAAGGGCTTAGATGGATTCTTTTGGTCTGCTGTGCTGTAGTCAGCCACCCACAAACTGGTAGACACAGCTCTCCCTGCTGCCCTGTGAATCTTCCCCAGGACCCTGGTGCCCTGGCTATCCCAGTGAGCTTTGACTCTGCATACTTCCCATATGGCTGTAACCACCTTGTTTTCTTTCTTTTTTAAAAAAAGATTTTATTTATTTATTTTTAGAGAGAGGGAGGGAGGGAGAGAAACATCGATGTGAGGGAGATAGATCAGTAGTTTGCCTCTCACATGTCTCTAACTGGTGACCTAGCCAGCAACTCAGGCACTTGACTGGGAATCAAACAGGTGACGTTTCAGTTTGCAGCCAGCACTCAATCCACTGAGCCACACCAGCCAGGACACCATCTTATTTTCTTAAAGACAGAGGCCAAGCCATGCACTCTGTGCTCCCTGTTAGGATGCCCCCTGGTGGTCCCATACATTGGCTCTGGGTCCATCAGGAAAATAGTAACTCTTCAGAGACCACCCAGCCATCATGCAGTCAAGCTTTTCCACTGAAGCAGCCAGAACTGTCTTCCTGCTTAAGGTGGAAAAAAAAGAAGCCCATGTGCAGAAAGCAGACTAATGGCTATAAACCATTTCTTGGGAACAATAATAAAAAAGATGGCCTTGCCATTTTGAGCCCATAATAATGCTGTTCTAAAGAAAGAACCATGGCCAGAAAACAATTTCCCTACAAATGATTGTCAACAGGAAAAATAATCTTGTACTTGGAGTTTTGTTTTTCTACTCTGTGTCTTCCCACACACAATGTTGGGAGAGTTAAGTATAAAAAGAAGTGATAAAATATTTTCATTAAAAATCATTATTCAGGTAACTCACTTAACTAAGGCGGAACCAAAATAACATATTAGTGAGAGAAAAATTATCATTCAGCCATTTGATGAGCTGAATCTTTTCCAAAAGCAATGAAGCGGGCCCCTGGAAATACAGAAGCTTGCACTGGGTTACTTCCCTGACTCTAAAATGAGGAAGTTGGTACAACTAGAGCAGAAACAGTCCCACCAGACCAGCACCAACATTTTCTAACAAATATGTTGAAAATCCCTTTTTATTAATCTAAAATGAAATTCAGAAATAATATCACCTACATATACATAAAGGTTTTTTAAAATCAATTTAAGGTCTTCATTGAAATATCAAGTAGAAATAAGCTATTTTACTCTAAATTATAACTAAAATGAATGGTAATTATAAGTAATGATCTTAGAATAAGTGAGTGGTTTTAAGAGAAATACAATGATATTCAATGAAATATCATTGACCCTTTTAATAACTGACACTTTTAAACAAGGGCTGAAGTGTGTGTGTGAGAGAGAATGTATTCATGTACTGTGAGTGCTTGAAACTGCTGAATACTGTAGAGAAGTCAAGGAGGATGAAGACAAATGTTGCTGGATTTGGAAACATGGAAAATTCATGGTGAAAATTTCACTGGAGTGTTGGGTGTAAAATCAAGATTGGTGTGTAATGAGTGAGAAGTAAGGAAATGGAGACTAATTCTGAACAACTTTTGAGATTGGCTGTGAAGCAAAGGAGAGAGAGGGTTTGTAACAGGAAAGTTATAGGGGGATACAAAGTGGTTTGGTTATTTTGTCCATCATTCTGGCATGAACATAATTTACATGTTTCTGGGAGAGAACAAGAGGAACAGGCATGGGTGAAGATGAGAGAGTGAGAATGAGCACCGGTAGCTTTAGCAAGGAGGGGGCAGAATGTCTTTTAAAATTAGAGAAAAGGATAAGTACCAATGAGGGGAGGGTTCAGCTTTCGTGATGTGAGGTGTGACAATTCTCAAGATGGCTACATCCTTTGTATGAAAGTAGGTACAGTGCCATCTGCTGAGAGTGACAGGGAAGGAAGAAGGTTTGGTCCTGAGGGTTGAAGAGGGAGAAAAAGGTTAAAAAAACTTGGAGAAAGTGAAAAGGGAGCTGACCAGAAAAGCACGGTAGTGGCAGCCAAAACAAAAAACTAAACACACAAACACTTGTTTATAGTATATTTTTTTTTTTGGTCTAATGTTAAACATACTAATTGTGTTTCCTGGGAAGTATGCAAAGTGGAGTTTTTGTTCAGTTAAATTCTGTTTTCCCCACCAATTTTTGTAATCATTCCAGATACTTGATTTTAATCATTTGATCTCTAATAGCCACTCAAAATGCTTTGGCTTCATTTTTGTTTTCTCTGTTCAGAATTGAACAGTCACAAATGGAACCCTTGATGCACTTAGCAACTAAAAAGTTTCCACTGCCAATCCTCCCATAACATAAATAATCAACCCTTGTTTAAGTGCTGATTTCACTTATTGGACTAGAAACCTAGCTTATTTCCATCAAACACAGAGCTTACTCTTGAAAAATCTAATTTTACTCCACAGTTAAAACTTTCCAACTACTGGAGAACTCACCAGGGACTTCACTTCCAGAAGAGACTTCCTGATACAAAGTAAGTAGTTCCTGGACAAAAGACATACTTTTTAAAAGCTGAATTTGTGTTATAAGAAAGGGGGCCTGGCCCTGAGTGGGTCTTGGGGACAGGTTCAGGGGGTGAGCCCAAGATGAGCTGCCGCTGCCCTGTTCCCCCTGGTTGCAAGTCTCACAAGGGCCCTTAGGGATTAGGAGATGCACACCTGTGGTGAAAGAGCATGGGGAAGGGAAAGGTTCAGGTCAGGTCCTGGACAGGAAAGCGTGTACTAGGTCCTTTGTTTTGAGGGTTTTCAAAGGCTGGGGGTTTAAGGGACGTCTTAGGGAGGATCTCAATAGAATATTCATCAGATTTATGCTGATGTACCAAAGTGAGATTTATTCCCTTCATCTGTCCTTGGGTATGGTTGGCAAATGGACCTAATTTGAATTCTGCTATCTCCCCAAGTACAGTAATTTAAGCTATTTACTCTCTGATTGGGGACAAGTGTAAACCATTTACTCTTAAGTCTTCTTGGTTATAGAAAATAGGATTTTGTGAATTACTAGATGGCTATAATTACTTGGCTGTCTAACTATCTGTTTCAGTTTCCCTGTTCTGTTTGTTCTAGCTTACTAGCCTGTCTCAGACCCTTGGGAGATTAAGAGAAATCAGCAGAGCAGATGATAAGTGAGAAAACACACACACACACACACACACACACACACAATAAACAAAACAATGCTCTCCCCTGGCTCCTGGCAGAAGCTAATTCAAGGCCTTTCTGGCGAAAAACAACCTCAGCTCAGATCAACCAATAGGAGCTCAAATCTAAAATCAATAAACCATAGCTTAGAATCACCAAAAACACAACCCCCAAGGACATCAAAGAATAGAATTATCAAATATAGAATGATATACTAAATGCAGAAAAGGAAGTTGAGACTTCCAACCAAGATGGTGACATAGGCAGATAGAGCTCACTTCCTCACACAACCACATAAAAATTACAAATAAAATACAGAACAATCATCAGTCAGAACCATCAGAAATCAAACTGAATGGAAGTCTGACGACTATGGAATTAAAAAACCACACCTATCCAGATTGGTAGGAGGGGTGGAGACACAGAACAGGCTGGTCTCACATCAACAGGGTGGATAAAAATTCAGGAGGGAGACAAAATGGGAGGAGAAAAAGATGGCTGAGGAGTGAAAGAGAGTCACGCTGACCTCCTCCCAAAACCAAACTGGAATTGCAACTAAATAATGGAGTAATCACCTGGAAAGCAGTGGAGCGATAGTGGGAGAGGAGCCTTGGTGCCGCGGACAGTGGATTCGACTCTCACACATCCCAATGGGTGAGAATTACGGTGGAGGTTCGAGAGGGTGGTCTGGGTGCGCACGGGCACTGGCACCAGAGGGACATTGAAACGGCCAGTTAGCGTCCCCCCGAGAAGAACGGGGTCTGAATCATAAACAGGAACCCCTAAACTACAGCAGCTAAAGCCGAGAAAATACAGACAAAACGCAACCCCAAAAAGCTTAGGGGCGCTCTCTGCCAGAGACAGGTGGCTGGGGATGCAAAGAGACATTTAAAGGGCAAACGCAAAAGTTGCAGCGGCAGCCACCCTCCTTGATCGCTGGGTACAGGTGGCAGCAGGGTGGGCTGGTGCCTGGGAAAAGACTGGTGAGGAAAACTTTGTGAAGAGAACTGACACTGCGGCCGGTGGAGCCCGGGTGATAACGCACTTCCCACTCGCCAGCTACCATCTCGCTCAGGCATAAGGGAATCAATTAACCTGCCTTTTGTGCGCTCCGCACACAGCTTGTACGCGTGTGAGCTACGGGGCTGAGTGCAGACTGGCTGGGAGAGCCTTGAAGAGAGACTGGAGACGGAGGCATTGGGGAAAGAACGGGAGGAGGAACCGGGGAGTCCCGACTCCCTCCCCGTTCAGTAGTCTCCTTTGTGGGTTGGAAAGGCGCGACCCCAACGAGGCAGAAGCGGGGCGCGCATGAACCAGACTGCC